TGGGGATTGAACTCAGGACCTTGTGCTTGCCTGGCAGACGCTTGTGCCACTAAGCTATCTCCCCAACCCATATTGATATTAATCCACCTTAAAATCCTCCTCCTTGTTCAGAACACACCCATCATTCTTTCTGCTCTCTGAAGCAGTTCCGGAAGTCCTCTTCCCTGAGGGTCTCTAGTTGTACTGTGTAACTATCTTAATACATCAATTCAAAATGTTTTACTTTTTGTGGTCACTTAGGCCTTTGAGGGAAGTTACTTGGTGCCAGATCTGCTGAGTAAGATGGATGAGGACGTGCCATATGGTATTTACAACCCTACCTCTGTTGCATGGCGCCCAGCAGCAGCGTTCACAGCAATTTCTTTTAATCACATTTGGTAAACATACTTAGGAAAGAGCACTTCCAGAACAGCTTCAGAGGTTGGCAAAAAAAAAAAAAAAAAAAAAAAAAAAGTTGGCATAAGTGTATTTGAAGAGCAGGTGAATGTGCTGAGGGGACATCTTAGTTACTTAGTGACTTTTCCCATTGTTGAGCCAAAATCCCTAGTGCCTCAAGTTAAAAGAGGAAAAGCTTATTTTGGCTCATAGTTTGTGGTGGTTTCAGTCCATAGTTGGCTGGCTCCAAGCCCGAGTGGCATCGCAGAGGGCATCACAGAGGAGAAACAGCTTATGGCAGCAGAAGGCGGTGAAGCAGCAGCAGTAGCCGCCCCCCTCTGTCCCCTCTGTTCCGTCCAGGCCACACACGCTTAGCTCAGCTCACACACCCGGGAAGGGCCTTCCCGTCACCCACATGCAGAGCTACGCCATACCAGTCAGTGGACTAATGGGTGATCATGTGCCCATGAACCCACGTACACACTTAATCTCAGTGCCACCCACTGGACCCAGCCACCTCTGGAAAGTCCCACCAAGGACCAAATGTGTCCTTGGGGGGACATCTAGGCACAAGGCATAATGGGGATTAATGACAGTGTGTCTTTTACTGTAATGGTTTCTTCAATTTAGACATTCACCATATTTTGAGCACATCTCCTGCTAAATTATGTTTAGGGGGCCGACAAGATAGCTCAGCGGACTAAAGCGCCTGCTTAAGCAAGTGCAGGGGCCACAGTTCAATTCTTGGGGCCACGTGCCATGCCAGCTCCGCCCCCAGCGTGGGCTGAGCTGGCCAGAGTCTGGACATAGTGGCACATGCCAGTAATCCGAGCACTGAGGAGGCTGAAAGCAGGAGGATCACCACGAGTCTGAGCTGCATAGTGAGACCCTGCAAGAACGAAATATGTTAAGAAATAAATAATGTTTAGCAGTTTGGGGCCTCTGTCGAGGTGGTCTCCAACCAAGCTATTGAAGTACTCTTACTTCTGCCATGCTATTCAAAGATATGCTGAGGCTCAGAAATTTCTACATCTTAAGCCCCAAGATGCAGAAAAGGCAGAAATACAAGCGGGACTGGGAGCTTATGCTGTAGCTGTGGTTATCACAATGTGTGGTTGGTTTGCAGTGTGATTGAGGACGCAAAAGCCCGCTTGAGAAAGCTCGATGTTGGTGCCAAATATTCTCACTTGTCGAATCACAAATACTCGGTGCTCGTACCACTGGTGGCTAGAGAAGGAAAGCTCCACCTGCTCTTCACCGTCCGGTCTGAGAAGGTAGGTGACAGGAGGCTTTTGCCACCATCTCTTGGGACCTTGGAAGACTGAGTGAAATTGTTGTCTCCTGCATATGGTTTGAGGACACTTCTCAAATGGACTTTCACACTGTGGTCCTGGAGGGGTACAAGGAGTCACAGGATGGTGCAGCATTTTGGGGGGTGGGGAGTTTCAGAATGAAGATAAGGAATTTAACTTACCAGTAATTTGAAGTACTTTTAGGCCCGAGTCGCTTAACTGTGGTGCTGTGATCTTTTAGCTGCAGAGCGCTGGGTTTAGGGAACTGTTCTGTGCAGTGGGTTTCAACCTCAGTAATTTTATACAGAAGAAAAAATAGTATCAGCTTTTGTAATTAGAATTTTTTTTTCTAACACTGGAAGTTTGTGAAGATTCAGTTTTAGAAAAGCATCTTTTATACCAAAACAATGCAGCATTTTCTCAAGAGTGGAATTCTTCTGAGTCCATAATGGTCTTTATTTCTTATTAACTGGAATAGGTATAAACTGACCTTGAACTGACTAGACAACCTAGCTGACCTTAATCTCTCAGCAGTCCTCCTGCCTCAGCCTCCCAAGTGCTGGGAATACAGGCATGTACAACCATGCCCAGCTTTCAACATACATTTTTTTTTTTTTTAGCAGAAATGGGGATTGAACTTAGGCCCTTGTGTTTGCCAGGCAAGCACTTACTCTACTGAGCCATCTCCCCGGCCCTCAATGTATATTTTTAAGTCAGATCCATATATTTTATATAATACTGGAGATGATAAAGCCAGATCTTACTTGGTATATGTTCAACTTTTGGTGTGGTAATGGACTTTAGGGGTGACTAATATAAATTTGTTTGGGTAACAGCATCATTTATCAATATAAATGTTGTAGTATAAATCTTCACCCTTGCTTTAGAATGGATATTGATTTCTGTAGATGTGCGTATTACCACTGCCTTGGAGTTGAATGTGCTAATGACAAAATACTTTTTTATACGTGACCATTAATAATAATTCTCTTTCTTTGTTTCTCAGTACTGGGCATTAGACTCATTGGTTTACACTGAGGTACAACCCCAGAATCCCCTTCTTTATTCAAAAAAAAAAAGAGAGAGAGAGAGACAGAATTTCACTAAGCTCTTTATTTATTTATTGTTTACTTAGAATTAAAACAGAAAAAAATTAGAAGTGATACAGAATTTCATTTAACAAAGTAATATGAATTTACATTATTTGTTGTAATACATAGTGTTGTCTTCCAACCAGTTATTCATATTGCCAGATATATGCATGTAAAATGGGAAGCAGAAAGAACAAAAGAAAGAAATGTATAAGAAGAAGAGAAGGGACTTGGGAGATGGCTCAGTAGAATAAGCACTTCCCTGGCAAGCGCAAAGGCCTGAGTTCAATCCCCGGTTCCACAAAACAAAACAAAACAAAAAAAGAAGAGAAAAAGTACAAACAATTGGAAAAAGGAGACAAAACAAATTAAGTGTTAGCTGCTCCTTTTCATAGACCAGCAAAAATGCACAGTACAGTTGTCCAAAGCATCCTTCTTACATACCTAGATAAATCTCACGCTCTTTACGTTGCCGGGTCTGGGCTCCACTTTGCAGCCCTCCTGTCTCATTACACGCATGCCCCACAGTGCCCAGGCGGCAGGCCTACTTCTTATTCATTGTGAGAGACACACTTGTAGTGGGTGGAGCATATTCGCGACCTAGAAACACACCCATCAGCCTTCCATGCCTCTCGGTCTTGACACCACCGATAGGAGAATGTAGCTATGGTAGTAATTCCTGTGTGCTTCTGACTTAGCAGAGAGGAACTTTCAGATTTCTTTTTTAATCTTTCCCAGGACTGTAGAGCACTTGCCCGGCATGGTGAAGCCCTGTGTTAATCTCCAGAACCATAAAGGCAGCACAGAACAAAACATGCTGTGCTCACATAGGTTTTTAAAATCTATAATGCACCCCCCCAAAAAAATTATTCGTATTTTGTACTCAGGATTGAGCTCAGGACCTTGCGCTTGCCAGGCAGTTGCTGCTTATGCCACTTAGATTTCTTCAAGCTGCTGTAACAAAATGCCTTAGATGAGGTGGCTTATAAGTAACAAATCTATTTCTCGTGGCTCTAGTGACTGAGAAGTCCAGATATAATTAAGTGTCTACTGAAGTCTTACTTCCTCAAAGAGAGGCCATTTTCCAATGTGTCCTTACAGGCTGGAAGGCCTAAGGCCTTAGCCCTCTTTCATTAGGGCTCTGAGGAGGGCTCTGCCCACGACCTAGTCAGCTCCTGTGGTGGCTTCTGTCTGGATGTCACCCTAAAGGCTCATGTGAGGCTTTCTGGAGCTGGTTGGATTTAGGAAATGTGACACAGGGATTAAGTGTGTATGGTGCTGAATTAGCCCATTGATTGGTTTAGCCCAGTTCTAGGTGTAGATAATTGGAAGGCCCACCCTGGGTGCGGGTGGCACCACGTAAATGGCTTCTAGCCTGGATGGACTAAAAGGGAAAGGAAGACTTGCCCCACTGCCTTGCTGCTTCCTGTGTGCTCCACCACTGACTGTTTCCCCTGTGCCATGCCACTCTGCCTTGGAGCCAGCCAAGTGGGGACTGAAACGTCTATAAAGTGGAGGCCAACCGTTTCCTCCTTAAGTTTGTGCATATCAGATATTTTGTCTCAGCAAAAAATAACTAAGACAACCTCAAGGGCCCTACTGCACAAAATCATCACCTTGGTGGTATGGATTTCAGCATATAAATGTTGGCCACACACATTGCAAGATCCAAGAGTCTTGCTTAGCTGAGGCCTCCATGACAGGTCAGTGGAAAGAACAGTTGGTACCCAGGGGTGGACTCAAAGGAATGAGGGGCAGTTTGCTGAGGAGGTAGGAGTTGTGCCTTTCTACATCTGCTCTGGCTAGAAGACAAAAATAGCTTTAGAAACATAAGAATAGAGAAATGCTTAGGACTCTCCTAATATTCTCCTTAAGTCAGGAAGAAATGGACCAAGAATATGGGTGGAAAAGAGAAACCCTTCTCCCTTTGCTTGCAAAGATACATGGAAAGGCTGACACTGGTCAATGCTGATGGCTGCAGGGACCATATCTTTGTGGTTCAGTCATCTCTTAATATGTGGTGTGCTGCTTAGGACTGCAAGCTTTAGAATTAAGCACTGACTTACATGCCAACCCGTTGTGTGATCCTCATGAAACTTTCTAACCTATTTGAGCTCTAGCTCCCTTGTGTGAAAATGGAAATAATATTAGGATAATAGTAGCTTATATGCTTATCATTGAATGGGTGAATAGACAAATTTTGATATACATAAACATTGGAAAACTCTTCTGCCATGAAATGAATGAAGCACAATCTGGAAGAATTTCCAAAAACATTGGTGCAATGTGAAAGACACAAGAGGTCATGTCATGCCAGTGATCCCATTTAGGGTATATTGAATGTGCAACCTAGGGACATGGATAGAAATAGAAAGCAAGGGTGGTAGGTTGGTGATGATTAACTGCTTAGGGGATACAGCTGTCCTTATTGGGTCATGGAATTTTCTAGAACTAGGTAGCAGGGGTGGACCACATGTGAATGTACGACATATTACTGAGTTGTTCACTTTAAAATGGTTAATGAGATGTTAATTTCATCTTATCAAATAAAATACTTTAGAAAAGAGTAGATTATAGGTCTGTTCAGAGGACTCAGAGGGGGAAAAAAATCTTTGTAAAACAGCATTCCCAGACATGGTAAGCGCTCAATAAAATGCTCAATAAAATGATCTATTTGAAAGATTACCATTTATATTATCCTTTATTTTACTTTTGTTTCTCCCCTTGAAGTTAATTTGTGGGTGAACATATAGAACCTCCTGGGGACACACAGAGAAAAGTTGGGAGGGGGGATGATTATCAAAGCTTACTTTAAAAATATGAATCAAGGAAAATCTTTTTCATTTCTTAAAAATGTTTTCAATGCTAAGGCTTGAATCCATGGCCTTGTATATGCAAGGCAAGCACACTATTGTTGAGCTACATCCTTGGCCCTCTTTTTAAACTTTATTTTGAAAAAGGGTCTCTGAGTTACCCAGCTATACCCAAGCTTGTGAGCCTCCTGCCTCAGTCCCCTACATAAGTAGGATTACAGGTGTGCTGCACTGCGCCTCTCCCCTAAAAAATTATGTCTTTTTTATTGCTTCATACTATCAAGTTAAGTACAGTCTCTGGCACATAGCAACAGTATAGTAAATATTTGTTGAGGGAATAAATGGTTCAAAATTTGTAACATGCATCATTTCTCTGTTCTCTTGATGTCTAGCTGAGAAGGGCGCCTGGAGAAGTTTGTTTCCCTGGAGGGAGAAGGGAACCCACAGACAGGGATGACGTGGCCACCGCACTGCGGGAAGCCCAGGAGGAAGTGGGGCTGCTCCCCCATCAAGTGGAGGTCATCTGCTGCCTGGTGCCCTCTCTGATTGAAGTAAGCGTCCCATAGACTCTCAGGAGAAATCCAGGTGTCTGCTGTTTTCAGGGTTCTATATTTCTCCAGACCAAACCCTGAAGTATCCTGCACAGAAAGCCAGGAACTGGGCCTTGTGTGGCCTCTGCCGCTTGTGAGCTCAGCAGCCTCGGGCAAAGCCCTCTTTCACCATCCAGAAACCAAAGGGTTAAACTACGTCATCAGTTTTCAAACTGGGTACCATGGAACCCTAGAGATGCTTTCCGTTTAGTTCATTAACATTCAATTTCCATTGACTTTTCTCCGCTTGTCACGTCTTCTTCATCCTCTCATCTTACAGCTTCCTGGATTTCACTTGTTCTCAGGATACTGAAAGTTTTGAGGTGTATTGGTCAGGTACTTTTCAGGATGTCACTCAGTTTCAGGTTGTCTGATTATTTTTGTCATGGTCAAACTCAATAGAAAAGTAACCTTATCCCATAATAATAGGTAGATATAAACTTTTTATATATTTGATGTATCGGGGCTTGGGGTAATTTTTTTTTCTTTTTTACATAATTTTATTGAGAAACAAATAGCAATGAGACAGTTTCAAATCCGATTAGTAGGACAGTTTCAATAATTGATACATTGCATATTGTTGTCTTAGTGGTTATTCATTGTACAAGATGCAGACATGATATCCTGTTTACGAACACTATTAGAACAAATCTTTCAGGGCTAGGGATTTGGCTCAGTGGTAGAATGCTTGCCTAACAAGCTGGAAGTCCTGGGTTCAGTCCTTGGCACCATAAACAAAAAATAAACCTCCCCTAAAAAACAATTCAACCAAAAAAGAACAAATCTTTCTATTCATT